CCGCCCTGAGTGTCCCGCGCTCGGGATCCTCTGGCTCTCAACGCACCCGAGTCTGCTGCGCCCCTCGACACTCCCCACGGCTCACCGCCCGCCTGCTTGCGTGCCACCAGAACTGCCTCCGCGAGATCCGCTCGTCGCTCGAGCAGAGCAAGCCGATCGTCCTCGTCCAAGAGGCGGACCCGGCCAAGGGCGGCGGGACGCTGCAGGCGCTGCGCGGCGAATGCCCGGAGGACCTGCAGCCGGACATCTTTGAAAAGGGCTGGACGCACACCATCTACATGCGAATTGAGGAGTTCCAGCGCGTCTCGCTCAAGACCATCGTCGAGGCGCAGCGGGGCACAGCCGCAGTCCTCTCGTCCCTCCCAAGACCTTAGCCACGGCACCCTTGAACCGCAGGCGGTGCTCCTCAGCTCACCCAACTACCTTGACCGGACCTCCCTCCCGCTCTGCGTGCCGGGCGAGCCCGAGAGCCAGTCGCTCGCCTTTGCCAAGGCAACCCTCCTCTGGGCCTCGCCGGCCAACGCGGGCGCACAGGCCTTGGCTGACGAGATTGCCGACGCCTTTGCCGGTCTCACGATCTCCACCGCCGAGGCGCCCGGGCCAGCGACCCACATGCTGCTCTACCTCAACGAGGACAGCTTCAGCGACGAGCGGCTGGCCGATCAGGTCAAGCAGGCGCGGGAAGACAAGCTGAAGATCGTCATGGCGCACGAGAACGACCCGGACCTCGGCGGCTGCCAGTTCTCGAGAATGTTTGAGGTCACACCGCAGGAGCGGGCTCGCGGAGTAGAGAGCGCATGCGTGCGTGCGTGCGTGCGTGCGTGCGCTCTCCACCGCCCAATCTCAGCTCCCCGCCCCCAACCCTCCGACGCCGCAGGAGCTCATCGCCGACGGACTCTACAAGGACCTGGCAAAATCGTGCTTCCCGGGGCGCCACCGGAAGGCGCCCTGTCCAGCTCGCTTTGCGCGCATCGAGCTTTCGTGACGAGGGGCGTCCGTGTCCGCAGGTGTCGCTCGTGCTTCTGGCAAAGAGCCTCGGCGCGACCCCCGCTCGGTCGCGGGCGGAACTCCTTTCGGGCAGCATCGCCGAGCGCGGCAGCCTCGCAGGGCGCAGCCTTGGCGGCCTCAGCCGGGTGTTCGCCAAGATGAGCAGCCGCAGCTCTGCGGAGGCGCGCGACGTCT